CCAATTCTTGTCTCTCTCCATCCCTGCGTTAACCGGGAGACCAAACACTGAAATAATGTCTGGTTCCTGGGATGTAGCTGTGTCAAATTGCTGTGATGCTGTTATAAGTACAGAGAACCTGCCCTCCTTGCTAAGTTGTTAGGATTCTGGGAGCTTTTCCCAATATCACAGCCCCACAGCATGTTCAAATGGCCAGTGGAGCCAAGCTGGAGTATTTTTAGTTGCTTTAGGCACAGTGTTTGTGGTAAAGCTTGTCAGAGGCTGTAATTGCAAAGCAGAGAGAACGTAAATCATCAGCTTCTTGGAAAATATATTCAGAGCCTGTAATTTTATCAGCATCACAATTTTTCTTCTTTGAGTATCTTTGTTTTGGTATGTACCAGGGTACTAAGCCACAGGAGGGAAGCTGTTTATGGATTCTCTGCCCAGATGCTGATAAGTTAGGGGCTTTCCCTCTTGTGAAAAGCAGCTGAATTGAATGATTCCGGGCAGCAACTGAACATAATTCTTTCTCTTTCATAAGCTCTTTTCAAGCATTGATGTTGTCTTTAGCAGTGAGGCACAACTGAATTCTCTTGCCTTTTTTTTTTTTTTTGCCTTCCACTGAGTGTTTCTACAAAGTTTTGCTCCTCCTGAACACAGTGGTGCAGAACTGACAGAGGGTAGTCTGCTCCAGGTCCCCGGACAGGGGACTGTTGCACATGGAGACTCTGAAATTCAAATTCACTTTCTGTGAACAGCCATAGGGAGACACATACCCAACTGGGAGACTCACATGTATTGCCAGCCTGTCATGTCTCCTCATTTTAGCCACTGTAACCCAAAACGTCCCCTCTGATCTAGTGTAGATGTTGCCCTTGACCGCAGCCCCTTGGTATTTAGATTGCCAGTCAGGCCACTGTATGTAGGAAGGGAGTTAGAGTTTACCCTGCTGAGTGCACATCAATATGTGCCTCATCTAAACGACCTGAGAAAAATACCTTCAACACCCGGTTTCCTAGCAGGCTGCCCATAAATGCCCTGCATCTCTTGATGCTTTGACAGACAGTGTTCAAACAGCACAGAAGAGGGTCTGATTACTGCTGGGGACTCCCTAGAAGTAGTGTGAGTCAGCAAGGCCGTGCTGCGTGTACGTCGGCACGCAGCCCACCCTGGACTTCACTTCTCGCCTACTAAAAAAACTAACTTCCAGGCCCTGTCGAGCAAACTGGGCAAACCAGCATCTGATCAGAAGAGAATGTACCCATTTCAGAGGTCAGGTCAGTGCAAGGGTTAGGAGGGAGCCTGTCAGGCCGTTATCTTGTTGGGATGTTTGGTGACTGTGACTGGAAAGCAGTCCAGTTTTTGCCACAGACTGAAATGTTCCTGTTCCTGAATGAGAGCATGAGCAGGCTTGCTCCTTCGTTTAATGTGCAGCACAACTGAAGTGCATATAGGCACATCCCTACTACCCCTCCACCCCCACACAAGATGTACATACACTTTCAGGAACACGGAGACCTTCCTGGTGAGTCATGGTGTTCATGCTGTCTATATCACAGGCAGCTGCATCATCTAGTTCCTTTCATCAAGTGCCACCTTAGAAGTTTACCTTTCTTGTCGTAGCTCAGTTCCCTTGGGAGGCAGTTCCAGACTCTCCCTCCTCTGATGGTTACAAATTTCCCACCAGATTCCAGCTTCAAATAATTCACGGTCAGTTTAGATTCTTAGTTTGCAAGCCAAACTTTCCCTTTAGCCTCAATAGTTCCTGTCCCTCTCTGGTACTCTCCCTCTGATGTTTACAGTCTTGTTTTCTCAAAGGAAACAAAGCTGGTGCAGTCATGCTGTCTGGCTGGCAGTCTCAGCCCTCCTCAACTCATTTGAAACTTGTTGGCCCATTTCAACCTGTCCTGGCAAGGGAGAAGTGGTTAGAAACACAGGTGGTCCCTCCAAGTTGGGTGGTAGTTGCTGACTGGATATGAAATGGGGACTCGGTGAAACACAGTCAGTCGAGCACAGGCAGTGATAACTCGAGCCCTTCTCCACAACCAGCCACGACAAATAGCTGACCAGTTGTGTGTTGGCTTCTGTTTGCCCAGTAGAGAAAAGCTTGGGGTATATTGCTGGCAAGAAGGGATAGGGCATGCTGAAGAATATAGGATGGAGGGATTAAGCAGTTTAAAGCCTTAATCTGTAGGAAACAAGGTTCCATCAGTTTGTGTAACAGTTACAGAGGGCAGTCATGATTTAAATATGTGCAGGAGTATTGATATATTCTAGGAAAGGGAAAAACAGATCACCTGGGAAAGCCTGGATCAGCACAGTTGATCCCTGTGCTGGATGGCCAGCAGAACACATCCACATCACTCAGCTCGCCGCAGCCCTCAGCACAGGACATAAATGATACATAGATCTCCTGCTGACCCTCTGCACAGGGGCACGTTTCACCCAGCGAGACAGAGAGAATAATTGAGATGATTGGTCCTTTACGTATCTGCTGGCCAGGTCCATGGGCCATGAGACTCAAACTGTCAGGCGTCTGGCTGCAAGTCAACCTTTAGGCACTTCGTCAAAGGCACCTTCTCAACTTATCACCTTGCTTTGGCTCCATTTTTAAGCCAGAGGCCCCAATCCACAGCGCCAAGGTTTTGTCATGACCCCTAAGTCAGCATTTTCCGAGCAAAAGCATCCCTGTGGCCATTCCTAAGAGGTGCTGCTGATCCGCTGCTGAGGGATGTGCTCGGAAAGTGCTGGGAAGGCTTTCCGGTTTGCCCAGTGGTGCCTGGCCTGAAGCTGTCTGGGAACCAGATCTGACTGCACATCTGACGTGTGTTTCTGTAACTGATGTGACACCTGTCTTGTATGCTGCTGGGGTAGATCTTTAAAGGGCTAGTAGATTGAGAGAAAGCACAAGCAGCAGACTCTAAAGGCATTTGCGCTCGTGTTTCAGTGTGCGTTGGTTTGCTTGGACAAGATTAAGCGGATAGCGAGGCAGAAGTCAGTTTGCCTACTGAAGATGCCCTTCTGAAGGTGACCTACCAGTTGTGGGGTTTTCTGGTACTGTCGTCACCCTTACTGCTGAGCATGTCATCACCGCAGAGAACGCTTAATTTCCTAACGGTTTGGCTGATGTAGCGGCGATGCTGTATGTAATGAGGGGGATCCATGGCACACCTTGCTGTGAAGAAATTCTTCACATGAGCTGCAAAGTGTGGCCCTCTGAAAATTTCTTCTTGGAGTTTACTGGGCTTAAGTCACGAGTGCACTCCAGGGGCTCAGTGCCAGAGGGTTGGACTCGTTATCTAAAATATGACATTATCCCCACTGCAGGAACCAAGAGCTGCAAAATCTGATATCCCCCTAAGGGGACAAATAGTCTTTTCCTAGTTTGGAGAAGTGAGGCACAGAGGGAGTGATTTGTCTAGGATTTATCAGGAGCCTGGGGTGGTTTGGGGACCTAAATCTAGGAAGCAGAAACTGCCCTGGGTTGTGGTTCTTCCCACTGACCACTTCACCTGGTTTGATTTGTGTTGCTGGAGTGGTCAGAAGCCTCAGTAAGGTACCCTGGTATATCTACCCCTCTCTCTTACCTCAGGACTGGTTATAGTCACTGTGGGTTTACCTACAACAGCAGGTAACAAGACTGTGCTAAGAAGTAATACGTCAGTGAAGGTTCTACAGGTGCCGTTTAGCAAAATAAATAGATAATGTCCCAAGTTCTGTGGCTGTTTGTATATTAATAATGTAGAGATAAATAAAAACCAACATAACTTTTAAATAAAGTCTTCAAATTTAACCCAGAGAAAGAATATGCTGCGTGGATGGCACTCTTTGAGTAAGTAAAAGCTCTTGGTGCAAAGGGGGCAAGTGCAGCCTTGGCTAGAAATGCACCTGAAAAGCCTAACATTAGTGAGCACAATCCCCTGCCCTGGCTCAGGAAGAGGTCTGGAAGTGATGTCCCTCAGGTGCAAGTGGGTGCCCTGCACCCAGTTGTCCCTGCCTCCTGGCAACTGCCATCCAGGAGCACATCATTCCTGGGGAAGGACAATCCTCAGTGGCACCTGAGTTCTGCCAGGGGGAGGAACTGCTTTGACATGGGCATCAAGATGGGGCTCAAGCACGGGTCAGCTTGGCCTTCCCTTCCCAGAGTTCACCTCCAGGCACTGCCGTGTGCCTGCAGTGCATCTCTGGCTAAGGTAACACGGAAAAAACGTGGGCTCCTGGCATCACCAAGGGAGGGTGGCACCATCGAGTGTAAGTCAGGTGCTTGTTCTGCCAGAAACAGAGCACAGGGAGAAGCTAAGTGCTGCTAGCACCGAAAGTTGTTGTGACCAACTTTATGGCCAGCACCAGAAGTCAAGAAGCAGTGATTGCAGCTGTAGGTTTCCAGATGCTGTTGTCTTCTGCATTGCCCTTTAGTAAATGACAATAAAGAGAGAGTGGTAGAGAGCTCTGACTCCAGTTTAATTCGTTTTGGCAGTCCCCTTTCACAGGACACTGAAGTCTGTTGCATGAATGTTGTTATGGCTGTATGGCAGAGGGAGGGATGAAATACCTCAGGATTTACCTGAGCTGGCTGGATCTGGGATTTCTGCATCAAAGGCTGGAGTGCTGAGCTGTGGGATGGAGGGTTTCCAGCTTCTCCCTGTGGCCAGCTCAGCAGAAACACTGGCCATCACTTCAGACCCCAAGAGAGTCTGTCCCAAGGTTTAAGTCCAGACAAGCAAGGAGTTCTCTGAGCTTTTCAGGGAAAAGCCACCACTCATATCTCCCAGTATAAAAACTTCCCCCTTTGTATCTCGTCAGCACTTTGTGAGGCAGAAGAAAGAGCAGCACAGTACGTTTACATGCTGCGTTAACATGGTAAGCATAGAGATTGGTGTGCTTTTCTTTCTCACGTTTCAATACAAGTGTCAGAAGAGGGAGTCACAGCAGGAGGAAAAACTACCCTGGCTGTCTCGTCCTGCACCCCGGCGGAGCGTGTGTATGGTATATAGTAAGTTATCTCCGATTCCTTTTAGGTTAGGATTTTAAACAAGAAGATCGATTTTAGCGATATTCAGTCCCGGTGTGGTTCCAGAGATAACATCAAACACTCTGCAGGGGGAGGAAATGTAAGTAGTACAGACACCCTGTGAACAGGCATCTCCACTGTGGTGACCCACCTCGCAGCCAGACCCCTCTGTCTCCCTCCCTCTGAGCGCTGCTTTCCTTCTCGCTGCTGTTTCACCTGTGAGTCTGGTCTGGTAGTCGTGTGAGCTGTGTGTATGCAGCCCTGCCCTCCTGATCTTTCTCCACAGAGCACAACACGTTTCCAAAGTTTGGATGGGAAAAGGAAATGAGAAAAGAAGGGTGATCTCTAAACGCCCAAGGGTGCTGACACAGAAGTCCATGGCAGGGGGTTGGAACTAGATGATCTTTAGGGTCCCTTCCAACCCAAACCAGTCTGTGATTCTATGATTCGGAGTCCAGTGTGAACTGAAGTGGTTCAGTGCTTTTTGTGGGAGTGGCCCAAGAAAGTAATTTCCAGAAAGAGACTCCGGGTCTTAGCGATGCTCCAGCCTCCCAGCTGGGACATCTTCCAGCGCATCAGTCCTTCCTCAGCTAACCTGAGAGGAGGAAGAAGAAAAATAAATCCTAAGGGCAAAGAAAGCTCCGAGACAGGTTGTGATCTGGCAGCATGCCGAGTGCTAATGCCAGTGCCGCAGCGTTATTCTGGTGTAGCAAACTGCCGTTGCTCAGGGTTTGACCAGACACCCGTTGTTTCTAGCAGTCACGCTGGAATAGCCTAAGGCGGCTCTGACCCCTCTGATGGAAATGATCAGATGGAAGAGCTGATGGTGCGGGCACGCCTGATCCAGATCCCGTACAGCCACCGGTGCTGGCTTAAGTCGTTGCTAGGGATGTGAGCGAACCAGTGACGTCGCAGTCGTCCTGGAGCTCCTGTCTGGCCTGGAGGGGCTGCAGCTTCTTAAGACCCGCAAACAGAGTCACTGTGATTGTATGCCACATCTGGGAGCGCAGGGAAGGGCAGGAGTGTCGCTCTGTGGCTCTTCCCGAGCTGAGCTCAGCACAGTCATGGCAACGCGGCCAGCAACAGGGCACAGAGCAGCAGGAGGAGGGAGGGTGCCTGTGCTGCTGCCTGGCTGAGCAGAGCGATGCCGCTGAGCACCACCGAGCCAGCTGGCTGAACGCCAACCAGCTCAGGTACAGCTGCAGGAGTCACATTTGTACCTTCATCAGACTCTCTGTAGTGGATTGAGCTGAAATGCATACCATATTAGGTGGAGAAAAATATGGAGCAGATGGTAGAGAGACCAAAAAAAAAAAAAAAAAGACAAAAAACCCCGAAAAATCCCTAGTTTCCAAGATTCACATTCAAGAGCAGAAGCAAACGGGATGGATCCTGCTGCTTGCAGGGCTTCGGAGCATCTGCTCAGAGAGGAGGCTCAGAAACATTTTAGAAAGGACCCACAAGCTGATCTGTTTTGTACTCCTCTTCATTTTGCTAATAGTAAAGCTTAACGCACCCCTGCCGTGTCTCCAGTTGGGATTGGGTGCTCCTGACGTCGCTGACGGGCTGCTCTGCCGAATCCCTCTTGTCCAAGGTAGTCCGGATGCGGTCCTGTGTACCAGCAACGTGTATTTTTAAACTGTTGAGGAGGCTGCGAGTTAGAGGAATAAACCTATCAGGGTGAATAGGGGCCAACATAGGGGATTCATTTTCAAAGATTTCATTTGTACATCACTTGGACACAAGCAGCCTTTTGTACGGATGAGGTAAAGTCGGAACAACAACTGGTTTTTGTCACCAGTGGGTCTCCCCATTCCTGTGGATCTATTCGCCCTGCCCAGTAGGCGGCATGGGTTGTTAGTGAGAAATTATCATTTCCTGGAATGGCATTTAAAAATGCTCTGGGCCCCCAAAATCCTCCTGCTTTGGCGTGGCTTAGCAGAACCCAGTCACCTCCGGTCAAGGAGATTCTCCAAACTTACTCTGTTTCAAACTCCTGAGGGCGTCTGGAATATTTTTCCTGCAACTTAGCTAGTTCTGCTGGGAACTAAGGGATAGTTCGTGTAGTGGTTCTCTTTCCTGTTCCCCTTCTTCCGCTTCTGGCTCGGTGAGTACATCTGACACAATCAACTTTTTCAATTTAGGGGGGCTGAGTGCAGGTGGATTTTGTGATATTAATAAATTTAGTTTCTCCTGCAACCTCCTTTCACCGTTCTCAGCTTCAGCCAGAGCAGTCCTTAACTCTTCCTTCTCTTTTCGCACCGTATCTAATTCTCGCTGTAGCACATTGTTTGTGGCTTCTAACGCTATAGCCTGTCTTCTGTTAGTATTGGCTTCCAGACGGTAATGTGGGTCTTGTCTGAGTTACTCCGTTAGTAATGACAGTTTTGTTCTACCCAGCTCAGTATTTAATTCCTTACAAGGTGTGTCAAAATCTGGATGGGAGATTCTCTTTTGCTCATCTTGGGTGCCAGATAAGCAAGCACCAAGAACAGCACAAACTACCCTTTGGCCTGTTCCTCTTTTCCTTTTTTATTCCTTTTGTATTTGCTCTGTTCTTTTAACAACTTTGTCCTCATTTTTCCAGTGGGTCTTTAGCCCACTCAAGTCCCCTATCAGAGGGTTGACATTTAAATCGTTGCAGCAGTTTGCTCAGAGACATGACTATTGGTTATTTTCTCTTGGGAGAAAATTTAGCAGATTATGAGCCCTGTGCTTTCTGGCCAATCCTCAGGTATTAGCGGAACCAGGGGTGGCTAGACTGAGAGTCTGAAAATGGTTCCAGTGCTAAATTCACTGACTGTATGTTGGAAACAGCAGTTCACCAGTGACGATCCTGTCCATGACACCGATTTCCTGTCATGCCCCTATCTTGGACCAAGGGCTTACTTCACTGACGATAGGTCAGGTAACACAATCCCGCTTCACTGACTTATTGCCGGTGTGTTTACGCAGAGAATGAGTCACAGTTTGTTAGGTGCATACAGTTCATTAATTGTTCAAGCTGATGCTTCTGAGCAAACACCCTCAACAATAATAACACTTCTGAATGTAATTAATAGCAGTATATATATATAAAATACAGCAGCATAATTCTAACACACAGCAAATGGATATAGTGTCAGAGAGATCATGTGACCTGATAAGGCAAGGTACAGCATGACGTGGATCTCAGTCCAGCTGAGAGGAGGCCTCACTGAAAATTCCTTTTCAGTGGTATTTTATACCCCTTTGGTCATGTAGGCACCCAGAATGGTCCATGGTGATAAGGTGGGAGTGTGCCCCTTAGCCACACTAGCCTGTCGTTCCAGTCACGTAGGCCTAAGAGTTGTCTGTAGTGACGAGGTGGGATGGTGCTCCCTAGTGTCCGGTAACCAGCCTCAATTTTGGATGACCATACTCAGTGGGCCAACCATTGGAGAGTGTGAGTGAGGCCTAGTTCTTACACAACCTGCACAGCAAGGGCATATAACCTTAACGAAAAAGAAACTGTCTGGCCTACGACCGGCCCTGCTTCTCTCTCGCAGTGAACTTGCTTCCCCTTTCTTCAGCAGGTTTTCTCTTGACATTAGTCTGGTCTCTTGACATTAGTCAAGGCCTCACACCAGGTGTGAAGGAAGCTTCCTGTATTAATCCAGGTGTTTCCTCCTTTGTAGTCTGTTTTCTACTAACCATCTCTCCTTTTCCAGTGGTTTGTAGAGGCTTGGGCTTGTTCTCTGCAGGGCTTGGCTTTTTATTTATTTTATCCTTTTCATTCCTTTAATTTGTGTGTGTGTGCTTTTTACAGGTACAAATCGTAACCAAGAAGATCGACTTGAGTCACGTGACTTCCAAGTGCGGCTCACTGAAGAATATCCACCACAAGCCAGGTATTGTAGCAATTTCTGGGATGTGGGACAAAGCACAGACCTAATCCTGTTGTGTGAAGGAGATATCACGGGTGATGCCATTCTATTTTATAGTCCAAGAGCAAATACATACACTTCGGTAATAAAAATAATATTCTTACCTAAATATAGAAAGATGTAAAGGTGTGGGACTGCAGTTTAAAGAGGACGTAAAAAAATAATGCAGAAGGATGCTGCTGTGGCATAATTTGAGTTTGATAAGATACTAAAATGTAGACCAAAGTCAGCAAAATACTTCAGCATGTGCTTTGAATCCCATGAAAATAGGTAGGGCTGCAGCACATGCTTACAGTTTGAACATGTGATGAAGATTTTATATCTTACTGAATGTGCAGCATGGTATTCTGTGCTTCACTAAAAACATTAGATCTCAGCTCAAAGGGAAGGAATGTGAGTGTACTCGTGTGCATCAGGTCAGACTTTCTCTGGAGCCATTCAGGTCTCTTAATCTGTATTTTCTTTTTCTGTGTAGGAGGCGGGCGTGTGAAAATTGAGAGCGTGAAACTGGATTTCAAAGAAAAAGCTCAGGCTAAAGTTGGTTCTCTGGAAAATGCCCACCATGTACCTGGTGGTGGTAATGTCAAGGTAAGGGGACAGCCATCAGAGAAAAGGCTACAGCTGTGCCTCCAGCCTCGTGAAATTATTAGAGCTGTGAATTCAGCAATGGTCTGTTTGTTCTCCCACAAGCATGCTCACGTGCCAGTTGCTCTCTCTGGAATTTGGAATGATAAATCTCACATCCACATCTAAGTTGAGAGTGAATCTTAAAGTGAAACATCCTGTTGTTTGTGCACAGGCTTTCCCCTAAAGATAAACCTTGTTTGGGACTGTTGTACAGCATGTAGGTATCAGCTAGTAAGTTTGTCGTATGGGTATCCCAGAAGATCAGGACTGCTTTGTGAAAGAGGAGGAAAACGTCTTGACAGTAAGAGCACTCCCACAAATATTAGAAAATGCAGATTTTGGAAACAAATCACAATGCCCATAAAATGTCTGTTAAATTCATACAGCTAGGAACAATGGTACTGCTCCTTAAAGCATCCGTCAGAGGCAGAAATAGTAAGAGAATGTAACATAGTAAGCCAGAACATATTAAACAAGCTGAAAAAATCTTCAGTTTCAATTATTCTGAGGACTGAAACAGCATCAATCCTTGTAAGAGTTCTTAAAATTAAACAAAATGAGACATAATGATGATCTATAATTTGGTGACAATATAATGTATTAAATTCTTTGCTTTCCTGGAGCAGATTGACAGCCAGAAGCTAAACTTCAGAGAGCATGCTAAAGCCCGTGTCGATCACGGGGCCGAGATCATCACGCAGTCACCAGGCAGGTCCAGCGTGGCTTCGCCACGTAGACTCAGCAACGTCTCGTCCTCTGGAAGCATCAACCTGCTTGAATCGCCCCAGCTTGCTACGCTCGCTGAAGATGTCACGGCAGCCCTTGCCAAGCAGGGCTTATGAATTTGCTCTTTTCGCGTTGTATGAAGTAATAATATTTAGGCATGAGCTCTTGGCAGGAATGGGCTCAGAGCAGGTGTTACATTCATTCTTTACCATGTCTAAAACTAAGTCACATCCCAAGACTTGTAGTTACCATACAGTTAAAAAAAAAAAAAAACAGGAAAAAAAAAAAGTAAATAGATGCAGAAATTGGCCTGATCTCCATTTACAACAGGAAGACACTGGCTTTATATGGGTATACAACTGCAGTATGTTACATTGGACAATTATTGTTGCTCTGCTCTGTCTTGCATGGAGTACCGTACTATGATAAAATGCATTTTTACCTTTCATGTGCCTGAAGGCCATCCACCTCTTTCTGAAGAGCCTTGTTAATATCCCAAGTTGCTCATTTCACTGTTCTGTTGATAGATGGGGAAATAAAACAAAGAAAAGTTGCCCATTGTAAGTTATTACAGGTTAAATTAACAGTCAGCTTACCAGAAGTAAGGGCATATAGAGAAATTCAAGTTTAATTAATTAAAAAAAAAGTGTTATTTTGTATAAATGAGTAGAACAAAAGTTGACTTAAGTTATTAACATTTTTTTGGACCTGGTTAATTATGTCAGTGTATAGCTGAAAAGCCAATAAATTATTTAACTAATAACTAAAAATAGTAGATGAAAACATTTGAACCATGCCTGGGGAAGTGACGTAAAAAAGCTGTTGAAAGCCAGCACTTCCACCCCACGGACTTGTGTCTGATTAGAAAGTTGGTTAAGCGGCTAGATTTGTGTACGCACCACCAGTTTCACATCCTTTCCATCTGTTTGATACAGTATTATAGATATATATATTTCTCTGTGGCCATTTGTGATATGCCCTCCTCATATACTTGAATATTCTACTTCTTTATTCACAGTATCTGTGTCTCTTGCACCCTTTGGTGTTGCAATTTTAGGTATGTAAAAGTAGATGTTAGCGGGGTTTTTTTTTCCCTACTCATAAGAATACATTTAAAAAAAGATGAAAATTTTAGCATGAAGTTGCTTTCTGTAACAACTAAAAGCCGTGACCCTGTTTTAGTGCCAGATGCAAGTCTCTTCTGTGACGCTAGAAAAAGGTTTCCTTCCTTCCTCCCTCCCTTTCTTCACAAAGTTATGATTTTTGTGGGGTCCAGATGTTTGAAAAAGGGTCTCCAAAGATGGCTGAGTTTGGATTCTGGATTTTTAAAAAATCCACAGTAGTTCGGTTCTGGCTTTTTTTCTTTTTTTTTTTTTTTAAGTGGTTTTTAGTTTTGTGTTTGTTTTTTTTTAACTCCTGTACTAACAGTGAGTGTTAGATTTATTTATTTGTTTTTCTTTTGCTAAAGTTGAAACACAGCAAAAAATATTAAGATGCTGTTTCCAATCCTTCAGTGATGTCTTATGTATATACTCTGGCACTCAGTTAATGGTGATAAATAAAACAGAGATGCCTGTAAATTACAGTATGTGAATGAATGAAATGAGCTCCCTAGACCAGGTTGCCATAGCGATTCATCAATAAATAGGGCATCTTAAAATCTGAGCAAAGTGGGATTATATTGACTATAAAAGGTATGAGAAAAAGCGTGCGCACAAGATAAAGGGCAGAGATAACGTAGAATCGTTTGGGTTGGAAGGGACCTTAAAGCCCATCCAGTTCCAACCCCCCTGCCATGGGCAGGGACACCCTCCACTAGACCAGGT